ACCTAGGAAACTTGTGGGTGACAACCTATAATTAACCTAGACTTAGTGAGGATAGTGATGTGGTGGGGCTCTTGTATCTAATCTAAAGGTTTACTTCAGGAAAGAACACCTGCCTTAGGGTTCACAGGATATGCGGGTGTTAACTTGGTGAATGGTGAAATACGTTCTAGCAAAATGAATGCAAAGATGCTGGTGCTGATGGAGAGAAGGGGAAGGGACTTGACATATTAGAGGAACAGAGAGAAAGCCCCGGTGGGTGTGAGTAAAGCCCAAACAGGACAGTGGTGTGAACAGCAGCCAAAAAGGTAAGTGGGAGCCAGATCTGACAGAGCCCGATGAGATTTCAGTCTATTAACTGATTTACAGAGAAAATAGAAGCAAACTCAGAATTTAGTACCCAGATAGTTACTGATTTTAATTAACCCCATCCAGTCCTTTTTCACCAACCTTCCCTAACCAAATCTCTTTAAAAAGAGAAAATAGAAAATAAAAGGAAATACAGATTTTTATCATTCATTTCTCATTAATTTCAGCTATTCCTCAGTTTAGCCTCCTTACCATTATTCTTCCCATCTATGCTAGTCATTTGTGTTTGACCTTAGAAAATATTTTGTTCATGTGTTTTTAAAATTTGAGAAAGCTAAGAGATAAATTTAATTACATTATGAAATTTTTCAAAATGGGAAACACACACAAAAAAATTAAAATCATTATTTCAGGCAGGCAAAAGATAAATAATTTTCTATAAGACAAACTTGAACTTTGTTAGAACAGGGGTGGGGAAATAGTAGGGGAAAAATACAAAACCACCAAACAAAAAAACAGCTGTCCAAACCACCCCTAGCCATTATCAGAAAAAGTTGTGAAAGAGAGAAAAAAAAAAAAGTCTTATACTTTTAATAATTTTTTTCAAATGTTAGCTTCCAATACTGAATCTTAATTAACTGAAATTTGAATAGTATTTCCACTCAAAATTTCAGTTCAATGTATTAAAGTCAATGTGAAGAACAGATTCATTTTTTTGAATATTCAATTTTTTAATATTTATTGATGTTTCAGACATAGGGACTAGCATAAGGAGTTTACCTCTTGCTTCCCCATCTCACTTCTCCCAGAATATTTATAAATATAAATACAGTAATACCTTGGTTTGCGAGCATAATTCATTCCAGGAACAAACAACTCGTATTGCACGACATCGCTCATTTACCATGTTAAAATGTATTAAAAACACTCGCAAACCAAGTTACTCACAATCCAAGATTTTACTGTATATTATAAATTATAATATTATATTTAAATGTTTTTTTGAATATTCAGGAGTTTTATATACTTTATAATTCACAAGAAATAATTTAAAATAAAAATGTTTAAACATTTTAGAGGTATGTTTTCAAAGTGATGAACAGCATGTACATCTGCTATGAACAGAAGTTATGTATCGAATTCTGATATACCACTTTGAAAACTTACCAATTAAAAAAATGTCATTTTTACCTCTTCTTGTCCAAATTGCTCCATGGAATCACAGTAAACTTCACTGTCTGAATCGCTTGTCAAATGCTGAATTCCCAAAACATCTTCAACATGATCATCATTTATATCTAAATATGAATAAATATCCAGGTAGAATAATTACTCTCTAATTGAAGAAAAATGCATTTATTCCATTTTCAAAATGTATTAGCTCTACATTATTTTCATACTGGGAGACAAATTTGATTTACTAAGCCACACTTTTTTCTTTTAGCTTACCAAAACTTTAAATTTAGTTGACAAATTTTATTTTAAAAGATTACAAAATATTTTATCATAGAATTATACAAAGACACTGTACTGTCCAGGTCAAACCTTGCAAAACTTAACATTATAAGAGAAAACTGACAATCAGCTAGGAAGCCTAAATTTGGATGCAAGTATTCAAGATTGGTTGTTAATATTTACAAATTATATTTCTTGGTTTCTTGGCTGAATTGCAACAATGTTAATAATTCACCATATATGTATTATAGGCTCACCCCTACAGCCCTAAGATATGAAGAGTATAACTTATCTTGCTGATTGCAGAACGGTATCATATAATCAGAGGTTTAAGTTAAAAGAAACATGAGGAATGAAAGTAAAAACTTCAAAATTTTATTTTAAAATGCCATACAAAAACAGTTGAAAAATCACAATAAAAATGTAAAAGCCCTGGCCATAATTCACTGTCTTTCAAAGATTTAAATCCTCATAATATTAATAAACCTGAAGATATTACTGAGTAAGTGGTTTAAACTTTAAACTGCTGCTAAACATCCTGAAATTATTAAAAGAATATTTTATTCATAGGGAGGAGGCTGAACAAGTAATTATTATGGGAGAATACCTTGATGAATGCAGACAGCAGTTTTTTCAGTTTGCTCCAAGTTTGGATCTACAGGTTTTATTTCTTCAGTGCTGCTGCCACTCAGGGAAGAACTGGCCTGAGTATCGCACTGTCCATTCTGAACAAGGCTGTCTTCATCATAGCCATTAGTGACAACAATTTCCAAATTCTCATAGTCTGTGGATTTCTTCATCATTTTCTTACCTTGTATGTGAAAATGAAAAAATTCATAAAAGTTCACATGAGGTCAACTTCTGTATATGATGTTCTAATATCAAGTAGTCATTTCCCAAACCTACCATAATCCCTTTGATGGGTTTTCTACTTGGATCAGAGAGATGGGGTGCTCCTAGAAAAGGCGTTTTTTAACATGCTGAGGGCTCAACCAAACTGTGTGGTTTTCAAAACTGCTTCAGTTCCTGTGAATTTTCTCTCTTCTAAGAGATAATCTTTCAAGGTCTTTACATTCTCTCAGCATAGGCAAATTGTTCTATGAGACCCAGCAGTACAAAATCAGCCAATAAAAACATCAAAGAAGGTATTATGCATCATACCTTAATGGAACACGAAGGCAAAACTAAGTTGTGCAGTTTGTTTTTGTGTTGTTCTGCCTCCCCTTTCTAAAACAGGCTTCCCAGAATCACTGGTACTCTTATTAATAAGGCCCCCTTCATGCAGTGTCCCATGATTCCAATGTTTCCTCTTCATTAAAAGTTCTGCCTGTATCCCATTCTCAGGATTCTATTCTTGACAAGATATTCAGAGTTCAACTTGTCTCCTCTCCATGGTGACATATGCATATTTACATTGGAAACAATACCTTAAATAAATATATTTCTAATGCAGTATTTCAGGCATTACATTTGGAGGAATGGCCTACTCTCGTTAGCCTTCAACTGATACCTATTCCATCTATTCATAAGGCTGGCTGTCCCTATACTCTGTAGTAGAGCCTTTAGGTCCACAGCAAACCTGGTTATAGGGTCAACAGCCCACATCCCACTACACGCATATAATGCCATATCAGCCCAAACTTCTCCATATCCTTTTGTCTTATTTAATGCAGAATCATTAGCCCATCATCCAAAGATTACCATTATCACTTTGTTCTGCTTCTTTCACTTCTTCTTGGGCCTCTTCTTCCTCAGACTCAGCTCCACTATCACTGCTTTCAGCTTTACCATTAACAGTTTTGGCATTTGGAGTAGAAGTTAGAACATTACCAAGATCTAAAACATGAAATGACCATTTAATCTCTAATGCTATAGCATACAATAATGCTGCAATTTATAAATAATACTGTCATTTACAAATAACTAGTAAAATAATTTTGAAAAAAAAGTTATAATCTGATATGCAATTAACAGTATTCTTTTCTTTGACTATAAATTACATATATTACATAAATAAATTCCTTCAACTAGTTTACAACAAAATGATAAAGCAATCTTAAAAACTTTTTGAACAAGGCAGAGGATAAATTATTTTTAAGTTAACCTCAATCAAAATAGTAAAGTTAGAGATGAATGATCTTTCTACAAGGCAAATGAAGAGAGCTGTTATATGCTAGCATACTGAAAACATAAATATAATATTTTTGGCCCTAACAACAGTCTTATCAATATTATAAGTGGGCTACCTTTAAACATTTAAAAAAATCTTTTAATAAGCTTTAGGGCTTCCGGTACATAACTTATTAATGTGACTTTATAGTTAAACTTTTTTTAAAAAAAGTATCAATTAATGCTATTAATCATTTATAAAGGCAATTGACCTATTGCCCAAAGTCATACTTTGCGAGTAAACACATCAGAGTTTCTCCAATGTTAAAATGCATAAAGAATCACCTGAGATCCAGTTAAAATCTCAGTAAGCCTGTGGTGATCGAAGATTCTGCCTTTCCGTAAAGCTCCCATGTGATGCCAGTGCTGTTGGCTACTTGACCACATTTTGAGATACAGGAAATTATTAATACATTCCCATCAACTCTTTAAGATACTAAAGGCCTCCTAAGTGGCTATTGGCCCAAAACAGTGGTCTTCCTACATAAGCTTTTGGGGTTTATTTTGACTATACAAATGTATTTTGAATGCTTCCCTGCATCCCAAACAACATAATAAATTTCAAAATCTTAACATAGATCTTAAACAGTCAGGCCTATATTCTTATTTAAGTCTAACTAACTAATGGCACAAAGGACTAAAAATTCAACTCTTATCTAATGTGACTCTCTCTTACTCTCCCCCAACAACCCGAAAAAAACAAGAACGACAACAAAACAAAAACAAAAACACTTACCGCCCACAGACATCTTCAACTAAACTAACAGGGAAACCTCATCAAATGGATAGCTGTCAAAAACTACTTAACAGCAGCAAAAACATCATCACAACAGTTCTGTGATGAGAGTTGTAGAAAGCACAGAGAATTTCTAGGCAAGTTAGGCAAGAAAAAAAAGATAAAAAACATCCAGATTGGAAAGACAGAGGTAAAACCATCTCTGTAGATGACATGCTCTTCTATACAGAAAATCCTAAGAAATCTACAAAAAACTATTAGGACTAAAAATAGTTCGGCAATGTTGCAGGGTACATGGTCAACATACAAAAATCAATTGTATTTCTATAAGCTAACAATAAGTCTAAAACTAAAATTAGAAAACAATTCAAGTTACAAAAGCCCCCAAAAGAATTAAATATTTACTAATACACTGCAAATGACAAAACATTGTTGACATTAAAAAAGATCTAAGTAAATTACCCAGAGGAAATATTTTTGAGATGAAAATATTCCCCAAAATGATCTATAATTCATTGCAATCCCTATCAAAATCCTAGCTTGCCTTTTTTTGCAAAAAATTGACAAGCTGATTCTAAAATTCATATGGAAATGCAAGGGATCCAGAATAGTTAAGACCATCTTGGAAAAGAACAAAGTAGGACAATTCATACTTCCCGACTTCAAAACTTACTACATACGGTATGTATATTCTAAAAAAGCCCAGGTGACACAGGTACATCCTACATCTTTTCTACCAGGCCTAAATGACTATTTTGAACAACATGCTTTGTTTACCAAAAAAAAACCAACCCTGCGTGTCTGGGTGGTGGAGCGGCCTCCCACGAACTCTTCTGCAAATGGGCTCCGTGGCCTATCGCCAAACCCCCATGATCACGTGCCAAGGCCCGCCCGCTAGGGGTCGCNATGTTGCTATTATCTTTAACCTATTATTTTGTGACTATTCAATAAAGATTTTAGATAAAAGTACAGTACTAAGAAATCCTCAAAGCAGTTTAAGGACTTCCCATTCAGAGTGAAGAAATTTAGCCATCAACACGTGCGGCTCTTAAGATATGCTTCACCAATTAGAATACTCTGTTCATTACATACAGTCTATTAGACTATGTTATGTGTTTTGTTAGACACTTATAAAGTATGCCAACAGTATTTAAAACATCAAATGTTAGTTAACTGGAAAAATGGCAGAGGTAAGTCTGGATATTTTATGATTCTTTTAAGTATATTAAAAATCAAATTTCTGTTCAACTATAGTAGGACATTTGGCTTAGATAAAATGTTATCACAGTACCTGAGTCATGTTCCTCGTTAATTATTACCTTAAAGGCTCAAAGCAAACAATGCCACTTCACAAAAGTACTTATTTTTCATGGCAGGTCAAAGAGTCAGGAGAGTTTATGTCTTTCTTTAACTTAGTTTGGAAGTTATTCTTGGCATAATAACTCCATTAAAGGAAAGACTAACTAAAAATGCTTTATTACTCTTGATGCACCTACCCCTTTTTTATTTTATTGTTTTTCTCTCCTCCCCAAAACTTTCCCATTTGTGTGAAATTGTGTTAAGAGCACACAGAGGATAAAAATTGTATCCTGTACCTAGACCACTTTATGCACAGGATGATACTGGGTTATCGGAAAAGTCATGACACATTTTTGCAACGAAAAGCATAGAAAAAATACGTCATGAGTTTTCTGACAACCCAATACATAATCATAAATAACAACCATATAATAATTATGTCATTATAGTAAAATGTCTTTCATAGCTTTCTAGATAAAATTACCATTTATATCTTCCAATAGGATCCCAGAATCCAGGCCTTGAAAGTTTACAGGGTCCTTCGGTTGCCTGCTTATAGAAGCTATAGAACTTGAGCATCATTTCATTTGTTGGCTGAAATGAACCTATTGGAAACATACATTAAATACAGATCAATCNCTTCTCTTCAGTAACAGACATCACTACTGTATGATGAAATACTGGAAAGGTACAGGTATACTGTATTGTAAAGCAAAGGCTAAATTCCTTGGACTTTTTGTATCAGATAAACACATCTCTTAAAGCCATCTAAATCCCACGGCCCTGCTCTCTGTTCAATAGACAGTCTCAGCAATCACTAATCCAAGTGTCCCAAATGCATCTGACATTTTGAGAAGTGTCCTATATCCCAAACCTGAGTATGTTGATCACTAGAAAGCTGTATCACCCACTGCAAGTAAAGTAATTGGCATTCTGTTTTTTTCGTAAATCTCCAAAAGATGGTTATTATGAGTCAAGCCTTAAAAAGCAAATCAACCTTCAGTACTCAGAGAAAGCCAACGTTCTGGACTTACAGAGCTTGGACCAGGCCCTCAGCCATGGTAACTCAGGTCCATCCTTTCTGAGGCGGTTCTAATCCTCCCTCTATTAGTGATTATCCCATCCTGTTGGAAATCCTGAAACAGTCTGGGGTTTTGCTGGAGCATTTGCTTTTTTGTTTGTTTTTTTACAAGAATCCCTAGTGATTCTAATGTGCAGCTACAGTTGAGTACAGTAGTCCCCTTACCTGTAGCTTCACTTTCCAGAGTCTCACTTACCCGCAGTCAACCATGATCCAAAAATATTAAATGGAAAATTCCAGAAATAAGCAATTCATAAGTTTTCAATTGCACGCATGATGAAATCTCACCTGAGACATGAATCATCACTTTGTCCAGTGTCTTCATGCTGTATATACTCCCTGGCCCTGAGTCACTTAGTAGCTATCTGGGTTATTAGATTGACTATCAGGGTATCAGAGTGCTTGTGTTCAAATAACCCCTTAATAATGGCCCAAAAGTACAAGAGTAGTGATAATGGCAACTCAATTTATTTTTAAATATCTCAATATGCCAAAAAAGAAGCAGTAAAGTGCTTCCTTTAAGTAAAAAGGTATGTATGTATAGGAAAAAATAATATGTAAAGGGTTCAGTACAATCCACGGGTTCAGACTTGCACTGTGAGACTTGGAACATATCCCCACAGGTAATGGGGGGCTACTGTACACTGATATCTCTTTAAATCAACAGACATAATGTACATTATTCAAGTACTGGTTGAATTTTCTGGAAATCCCCATAAGATAGCCTGTAAAATTGTACAGAAAATAGAATTTTATATTTCCTCCTGATTATGAATCAAAATAAACTTTATTTTAAAAAACATGGATTATTTCCCCTAAACCACATTAGTTATTCTCANGCTACCATTTTCAAGAACACTGCTACTCTTAATATCAAAATGAAGTCAATTTTGAAGTTGTCCTTGATGAAAGGACCTCTTCAGCTACTGGTATGAAATTTACATTGGGGGAAACAAAAGTGGGAAGTCCAGTTTGAGGCCAGTTTTTTCCTGCATCCATAAAAGCTTGAGAAACTCTGTGAAGGCCTGTCAGTGAGTACTGACGATGCCAGAGAATTATTCCTGTCTCTGCTTACTTTACTACCAGCTTTAAAACCAGCCTTCACAAAAACAGGATTACTCAGACTATTTCCATGTTACAGTAATCCTCCCTCCAGTCACTCTATCTAAATACCCTATATTTTTTTCCCCTCAGAGAACTTATCACCATTTGCAACATATCTGAATTATTTACTTATTCACTGTCAGCTCCCCTATACGAAAATGTAAGCTGCACTGAAGGAGGAGATTTGTTTTTTTTTCTCTACAGCATCTCTTAGGACCCGGGATACAGCCTGACAAAGAACAGGGGCTCAGTATTTGTTAACTGTTGAGGCTCACAAAGCTTAACTTTCAGGGTGTGCCACTTGCATGGGTCCCTGTGATTGCTAGAAGTTGTAGCATGTTGTAGGTTGGGTGAAGTCAGGTTGTATATAGGATGCCTTTCATATAAGGAATTTTGATAAATTACCTAAAGAAAGAGACCTGGATTCAAGGCTCTATATGCTATGATCTTCCTTTTCTTAACTCAATATTCACAATTTTGTATGTGTTCAAATGACTATGTTTTAAACTATAATTTTCTTAATCCCATTAATTCATTTTTTTCCCTGCCATGTCTTACTTTGTTTTATTTTATGCAGATTTTTTAAACCAAATTCAGATAATCCTTTAACTTTTCATGACCTCATAAAATTAAACAGAGATTTTCCGTTTTTTTCAGGTGTACAACACAATGATGCGATATTTGTATATATTGTGAAATGATCACCACAGTAAGTCTAGTTACCCTCCATCACCATACAGTTACAGATTTTTTTTTCTTGTGATGAGGATTTTTAAGATCTACTCTCTTAGAAAATATAGTTAATAATATTGTAACAGCTATGTATGGTGCCAGATGGGCCCTAGACTTATCGGAGAGGATCACTTCCTAAATTATATAAATGTCAAACCACCGTGTGGTACACTTGAAACTAACATAAAATAACATTTAATGTCAACTGTAATTAAAAATAAAAAGATCTACTCTTAGTAACTTTCAAATATTCAATATAGTATTATTAAGTGTAGTCACCATGCTGTACATTATATCCCATGACTTATTTATTTTATAACTAAAAGCGTGCACCTTTTGACTCCCTTCACTCATTTTGCCTACACCACAACACCTGCCCCCTTTCCACCCCTGGGAACCACCAATATGTTCTCTGCATCTATAAGCTAGGTGGTTTTTTTTTTAGATTCCATGTAAGTGAGATCATATAGTATTTGTCTTTCCATTAATTCTCTTTTTTGACAATACCTATTCATTCCTTACTATAAACAATTATAAATTATTTACTTTTCTTNATGGGCTCATTTCACTCTTTCTAAAAAAATTTAAAAAGCAAATGTTTACAGTTAATACCAGCAAATGTGTATGTTATTTGCAACTCCTGCTAGTATGTTCAAGATAGACCTTTCAATTCTTTACCGAGATCATGAAAACAGAATTCTAAAAAGAGAAACCAAGCTAAGTGAATTCACTGATGTCTTGTTTTAGCTTGCTAAGCTACAGTTAAACCATACTATAAATGTATCACTTTAAAATAAGCTAGAAAATCATTTCAGCCATGGTATTGCTAACATAATTCATAAAGCAAAATAGAAAATATAACCCATCAAAATAAAACTATGAATTCTGTTATAATTCTGTAAGTACTAAGAGAACCACCTATCAAGTCGCAGTAAGTTAAGGGTTCAAACTTAAGAGTTTCTAATATTTTTTAACTTTACGTGATGTGTTTGCTTGGATTCAAAATTCCTGAGTGACAGGAAAAAGACACAACTAAATAAAAAAGAAAGAAAACTCTTGAGTGACAAGCTTATAAATTATACAAATTTGTGCAGAATTCTTTGGCATGTCAATTTTAAACAAAATTTTTACATGGATTTCATTAGTCCTACCTTCTAAGTATTTAGAGATTTTCTCCAGTCGGACTGGCATGTGAAATTAAAAAGAAATTAGACATATAAATATTAATGCATGCATAATGTCAGTTGCTGAATTTAAAATGAGGTAAAATGGTCCAACCTGAAGTTAAATCAGAACTTCTGCCACTCTTTTTGTCCTCTACAATTTCATAAAATGGGCCTATGACATGTAGCAATTCTTCAACTTTCTCAGTCATCGGCATAGTTTCAAGAATCTACAATCAAAAGAAATAAATCTTGTGAAATCAAAAACTATTAATCTGATCTATACTAGTATCAAATAATATAACATTTAAAATTTATGTATTGATAATTTTGAGATGTAAGATTCATTTATAGAACTCCCTAAGTATCTATATTAATTACATACTTAACGTATATAACCTCCTAGAAAAGTTTCAAGCATATTAAGATTTAAAAGTATTTTCATTTTGAAGGCTATTTCACATAGGCTTCATGTGAAATTTTACACAATAATCTACATATTGTGCATAAAAATTAAGGGTGCAGGGTTCCATTCAAGATGGTGAAGTAGACGTACACATTTTAAAAATGTGTATTACATGTCAAATATTGTCTCTAATTCAAATGATGGCTAAAGCAAAATAAAGACAACTTAAGCTTTGGTTACCTGTAAAAAAAAAACACAACTAAGGGCACTAATGTTAAATAAAATAAAAACTGTGGAGTTAGTGTAAATTATATCTGTTCTTTAACACTATGGTATTGTTTCTAAAAGGGCACAAAAGTGGGAAATAATAACCACTTTCAGAAACCTTTATAACTTTATAACTATGGGTCAACTTAGAATCATCAAATTTAAAGAGCAAGGTATATTAACTGAAAAGACACTGAAATAGCCATCAATGGGTGACTGATAAAAGAAATTAAAAGTATTTCCATATATAGAATATTTTACAGATATTAAAAAGACGAAGGTTTGTGTTCTGATTTGAAAAATATCCATGAATTTTTTTACCGGCAAAAAGCTAGTTGCCTCACAGTATATTTAATATGATATCATTCTTGGTTTTCCCTTTTTTTAATAGGATATATATATCTTATGAATCAATCTACAAAATACAATTTAAAGTAATTACCACTAAAGAGTTAAAATAGAGTGAACAGGGAACTCATTCTTTATTTTATACTTCTTTCAATGT